TAGACAAAACGCCACACCAAAAAGAGTGGCCATTTCCAACACTTATTCCAGAAAGAGGAACAACCCGTTTCATATACGGCCTGTAGACGTTTCACGTCTGCCACATTCAGTCGATTTAAGACGCAAGCTCCACTTCCTGTGGTCTCTGACCGTCGATATACCTTTAAGTGTCAGCTTTGAAGCTATATTCCCTCCGGAGCACTGACACTGGTGCCCTTCCGTCAACATGCCTTTAAGTTTCAGTTTTCAACCATATTCCCCACAGAAGCCAAACTCTTGGGTATCCCAGAAGCTGTTCAGCGGGTCAGGGCAATAAAGCTCCCGGTTCGCAGGTTGTTCCGTCTTATGGATGGAAGTACGACGGTATATGATCTTCTTCGCACCCACGGCATCACCTCATAGAATCTCTGCATTGCATCTGCAATCACAACGCTGACTTCCCAGATCGCCACTCAGCCATTGGACTCTTGATAGTTGTCTCCCCACACTGCTGCTGGGGGGACTTTTTAACCTAGGCCTGTGTATGGCCTTCAATTGAAGCTGCTTCCGCTCCGCCACTCTGCCATTGGACTCTTGATAGTCGTCTCCCCACACTGCTGCTGGGGGGACTTTTTAACATAGGCCTCTGTATGGCCTTCAATTTAAGCTGCGTACGCTTCGCCACTCTGCCATGGGCCCCTGTACCGCCTCCTCTTGCTGCTGCCAGGTCCAGAGTGTGTCATGGGTCCCTGTACGGCCTCCCATTGCTGCTGACTTCATCGCCAGACTCTGCCATGTGCCACTTTCAGGTCTCCTTACACTGTTGGTGGGTTCCATTTTGTGATAGGGTGCTGTATGGCCTTCCATTGCTGCTGCCTCCACCGCCACCCTGCGCCATGTGCCTCTGTCGTCTGCTCACGCTGCTGACGGCTTCCGCTTTTTAACTGAGGCCTGTGTTTGGCTTCCGAATACTGCTGCATCCACCGCCACCCTGCGCCATGTGTCTCTGTCGTCTGCTCACGCTGCTGACGGCTTCCGCTTTTTAACCTAGGCCTGTGTATGGCTTCAGAATAATGCTGCCTACACCGCCACCCTGCGCCATGTGCCTCTGTCGTCTGCTCACGCTGCTGCCAGGTCCATACTGATTCATGGCCCCCTGTACCGGCTCCTCATGAACGTGGTTCAGCGGGTTTGCATCACTTAACGGCAAATCGTTGACAAACGCTGGGACGTTCAGTGTTGTGCGCATTAAGCCAGACACCAAAGGGCAGCACAGACCTGTTATTACTCGCTCAAGCATGGCTGAACAAAACCAGTCTCTACCACAAGTTGGACCCAGACCTGCCCAGGGTCTCGTAAGTAGATTGCACGGAGGAGTAGAGTTCGTTATTGGAATTAACTGTGAGGGACTTTTAAACCTCGGCCTGTGTATGGCCTTCAATTGAAGCTGCTTCTGCTCCGCCACTCTGCCATTGGACTCTTGATAGTCGTCTCCCCACGCTGCTGCTGGGGGGACTTTTTAACATAGGCCTCTGTATGGCCTTCAATTTTAGCTGCTTACGCGCTCCGCCACTCTGCCATGGGCCCCTGTACCGCCTCCTCATGCTGCTGCCAGGCCCGTAATCTGCCATGGGCCCCCGTACCGACTCCTCATGCTGCTGCCAAGGCCCGTAATCTGTCATGGGCCCCTGTACCGCCTCCTCATGCTGCTGCCAGGTCCAGAGTGTGTCATGGGTCCCTGTACGGCCTCCCATTGCTGCTGTCTCCATCGCCACACTCTGCCATGTGCCACTTTCAGGTCTCCTCACACTGCTGGTGGGTTCCATTTTGTCATAGGTTGCTGTATGGCCTCCCATTGCTGCTGCCTCCACCGCCACACTGTGGCTCCACACTCTGGTTTTGGCCCCGTGACTGCCCAAATGAGTGAAGTGTGCGGTGATTCTAAGATCGACGGCACTCATCTGCATGTCATACTGACTGACAGTATTATTTCTCTTCCCCAGCAGACTCCAAGGGCATTTAAATAAAGGTACAGTGTTCTGCACTAATATAAAGGCTCTCTGAAGCCTAGAAACACCCTTTTTATAAGTTAAATTCACAGCGAATATATTTCGGCACGAAGTGAATTTAATCGGCGAATTCGGTGAATCAGCCGAACCGAATTTTTGAATAATTCGCTCATCTCTAGTCTCAACCCTCTAATTCCTACTTTGTCTGGACAGCTTGGAATGTTAAAAAAACACAGACTTACTGGTTGGACTACCAGGTGGAAATAAAGGGAAAAAAGAAAACTAATGCAGTCAATACATCTAAGACAGCCACTGCATCTGGTAAGCTGCAATGTAATACATTTTTATCTTGGGGTTTATACTGTCTTAATTGGTATATACCCTCAGTTATACTTTTTCTCTCTAGTGTAAAATATTTAGCAAAATAAATCTGCTCGCAATATATTGTAATTGTTTTGGTGTGTGCGTGTGCTATTGGAACCATTGTACCTAGAGGATAGTTGGAAAAGATGAACCTTGTTGATCAGTGTGCCCAAGAATGATTGACAGGACTTTCTGCTGGTACCTGTAGATAAAAGGATTGTCACAAAGTATGGCTTAAATTGGTCACACTGTATTCAGACAATAATAATAGCTAATATATGGACAGAAAATGACTCTTTGAAATGACAATAATTGCTATATAAGGCATCCGGAAAAGTACAGGGAGGTCATAAGATGACCTAGCATTATAGCAAAATCATTGTACAATCACTATATCCAGTGTCTCTTGCTCATTCTGATCTGGCTATGAGATAAATAGAATGAATAATACATTATACATTTTCCCATTATATCATAGTAAAAAGGATGTTCAAGAATAAAACACAGAGGGGTGAGGAAAGGAAAAAAAATCCAAACTGTTTCCAAAAGTCACAACTTATTTATATTTTATGGCCTTAACTTTCTCCGGCATGTATTTTGTCTAATTTTTTTTTGCACAAAAACCTATAAATCTATATTCTGATCATAAATATTTTTCAAGACGATGGAGAAACTCAAATTACCTGGCATGACTTTCATTGTTATAAAGATGTAATTCTTATATTGAAATGTGGAATGGAAATGTGAGAAAACTGGGCTGCAGAATAAGAATCAGAATTTAGCAGGTTTATATGATTGTTTGGCCGAAGGCAAAAGTAATAAAATTCCACATTTAAGCACCATTGGGGCTTATAGAATGAAGACATCTGCATTATTATATTAAAATCTTCCATGGTGTAATAAATACAACTGACAGTAGTGCATGACTTCTTTTATGAAAAATATGTTGATAGCTGTTCAGTCTTAAATACTGAAGAAACCTAAATTTTAAATTTTATGTGTAGTTTGTAGCTAAATGCTCAACAGGTGTCCACATTATTGCTCACCGTTGGGCATAAGAAATATATATTTTACTTAACCAGTAAAAAAACGTAATGTTTCATGATGCGCCATTGTAAAAAGTAATTTGCTTTAAAAATGACATTTAAAGCAAAATTTGGGAAAAACTGTGTTTTCTTATTGAAAAGGTAATAATTTATTAAAATGAATTATTGGATACACATTAATTAGATACTGATGTAATATATTGTTCAGTATTTGATAAAAATTTGTTTACCATGATATCATAATGTAAATTAATGCTGATTTCTAATAAGTTTTGTAAAGGAGTGGCCAAAATGGAAAATATCACCTTTCTGTACTATCTACACATCTTCTCCAGTCAGATGCACAAATCCATACCCTCAATTTATATCATAAGACATTATTATTACAGGTACTTATATAGCACTGTCAATTTACACAGCACTTTACATATATATTGCACATTTACATCTGTCCCTAACCCTCAAGAAGTGTACAATCTAAGGTCCCTAACTTTCATTCATACATACTAGGGCCAATTTAGACAGGAGCCAGTTAACCTACCAGCATGTCTTTGGTGTGAGAGAAGAAACCCACGCAGGCACAGAGAGAACATGCAAACTCCAGGCAGGTGGTGCTGTGTTTGGGATTCGAACCAACAACTCTAGTACTGCCAGGCGGAAGTGCTAACCATTTAGCCACTGTGCTGCCCGACAGTGACTGATGCATAATTGGTTTATATCTCAATGGGCTCTGTCTCCAATGTTAGGCAAAGGTTCACCCAGAGTTATACAATCGAAGAAGTATTGACCTTTTCCAGAGATTCTCAAAAGTTTGATTCTTTGTTTCATGCTCCCAGGTCACAATCCATGGCTTTGCCATACAGATAACAGCTGGTAAAGTTACAGGCAACCATATAAAGCAAAGTATTGAATCATCAGGTGGGAACATAGGGGGAGATTTACTAAAACTGGAGAGTGCAAAATTTGATGCAGCTGTGCCTGGAAATCAGTCAGCTTTCAGGTTTTATTGTCATAGCTTAATTGAACAAGCTGAAGTTAGAAGCTGATTAGCTACCATGCACAGCTACATCAGTTCTGAGTGCTCCACTTTCATTAAATAAGTAAAAAATAAGGTCAAGGTATAGGCACCTTTGACTCCACAGTAACCACTTTGCCTGGGATCTCGTGGCTTGTACTCTGTACAAATTTTAATCAGAAAATTGTATCAAATTATCTTTTATGATACTTCAGATTCAAAGTATATAGTATAAATAACAATACCCTTCACCATTCCCCAAATGAAAAGACAACGTTGTCTTTGGTTACACCTGTCAATCCGGATGTCACACTGATCACTGTGTAAATACGTTGCAACCCTCAGTTAGCAAAACCCAGCTTAAGAATAAACAAAAACAATTAGTATACGGTTGCCCAAATTTAACTGCTTTAGCTCCACCCCATAGCAGAAATACTGCTACAGGGCGGCAGCTGTGTGCAAAATCAAGTATATATATGTGATTTTGCATCTTTGGGTAGGGGGCACACGCGAGGTGAGAGCGCATCCTACCTGCGCCGCTATTCGTGGCTGTCAATCACCAGGTCCGGTGATTGCAGAGGATCTTTGATGGGGGAGGGAACTGTTAGTAAACAAAACAGTTCTCCTCTCTGTTAGGTCCTGCACACTGCTTTGGATGGCTGTGCACATCCAAAGCAGTGCCAAGGTGAGGATGGAGTGGGGTGAAAAGGTGAGATCTGCTGACAGGGGTTGCCAGAGTGAGATGTAGAGGAGGGATTCAGAGTTGAGTTGTGAAGATGCAAAGCATCTGCAAAGCAGTGTTCTTATAGTGAAGCACACACACAGAACATAATGTAAAAAATAACACACAGCACACAGTTAACCCTTTGATCACCCCAGATGTTAACCCCTTCATGCACAGTGCCATTAGTACAGTGGCAGTGCTTTTTAGCACTGATCATTGTATTGGTGTCACTGGGGATGTCAGTGACACCAAATCAGTTCCTCCCAGTGTCAGAATTCCCACCACAGTCCCACTATAAATCGCTGATCGCCACCATTACTAGTAAAAAACAAACCCCAGTATATATATATATATATATATATATATATATACATATATATATATATATACACATACATACACCACCATTTGAAGACGCTAAAACGTTGACGTAAACCAATTAATTTACATGTATTGTGATTTTTTTTAGCAAAGACATGTAACAGAATACATTTTGGCCTAAATTTATGATGAAATTTGATTTTTTAAATTGTTTTTACTGGACATGTTTAATAGCAAAAAGTAAAAAATACTGTTTTTTTTTTCTCAAAATTGTCGGTCTTTTTTTTTTTGTATAGCACAAATAATAAAAACCACACAGGCGATCAAATACCATCAAAAGAAAGCTCTATTCATGGCAAAAAAGGACATAAATTTAATTTAGGTGCATCATTGCATGACCATGCAATTGTCAGTTAGAGTAACATAGCGCCTTAACACAAAAAATGGCCTTGTCAGGAAGGGGGGTAAATCCTCTGGAGGGCAAGTGGTTAAACACAGTACCCAGAGTGTAAAAAATAGCCTCAAATAAACAAAAACATTCCCATATGGGGCCACTAAATACCATATCACCTTTACTGAGTATCACAATAATGTTGCTCTATTTAAACATCCAAAAGAAACCAATAGTCATCCATACTGACACTGCCTGCTTACTGCCTTTAACTTGTCAACAACATTATAGTGTCCTTGGGACTATGTTTCTCAAATGTGAACATCCAACATTTAGATAAAAGAGCAGTAAAGTAGCACGCAAGCAGTGCAGACATTTACTTCGTTATAGTACAGCAAAGCCCACACAACTGCTGAAATGTCATTAAAGTGCTTTTATACTGGCTCATACTCTGAGTTGAATCTGCTGTAACAAGAATTTTATACACTTCCTTGCTACTTCACATTTTTTACATTGGGCAAAAAAACAAAAATCACATCTCAGGTTGTTTCTTGCAAAATGAGTATACACTTGTAGCAGACCTTGTGGGACATACGGGCACAACTTAGCAGACACTGTGGAATATACAGGCACACCTTGGCAGACAATGTGGGATATGCAGGCACACTTTGGGAAACACTGATTACATGCATGTATATGAATATGGAAATGTCTTAAAAATATTAAAGTGATTCTAAAGGTTGTACTTAAAAAAACAAAAAAAACAAATATGTCATATTTACCTGCTCTGTGCATTGGTTTTGCACAGAGCAGCCCTGATCCTCTTCTTTTTGGGTCATTCGCTGGGGGTCCTCACTCCCTCACTGCCCCCTGCTGAGTGCACCCAATAGCAAGCTTCTTGCTATGGGGGCACTCAAGCAGCCTTGCTCCCGAGCCACACTCCTGTGAATGGACATTGTTGGGAGAACTGCTGCTCTCATGCACATCACTGGATCAAGCTCAAGTTAGTATAAAGGGGGCTGAGGGTTTTTCCTTTACCTTAATGCATGGAATGAGAATTAGAACCACTTTAATGTAAACCTATAGAAAGAGGAAAGGATTGCAGCTACTTCTGATTAGCCCAGGTAAATAAATGATAAGTAGCCTACATGTCTCCACCCAAACCACACACCCTGCTGCATTTCACTCCTCCCACCAAGGCTTAGTCATAAGGTCTGGTGGGTGGGGAGAAATGCATCAGGGTGTGTGGTTTGGTGGAGACACGTAGGCTCAGACCACTCGTTATTGGTTATTCACCTGGGCTGGTTGAGAGTAGTGGCAAACCTTTCCTTTGTAAATTTACTTACCCCTGAATTTGTGTTATGACAAGCCTGCACCCCATGTTCTGGGACACAGGGATATGCTTCCGCCTCTCCTTAGAGTGGCGCCAAGAGCAATCAAACAGGTTACAGTGTGTATGAACCCATATTAAGAAATATGTCATTGCCCGTGTGAAATAATCCTTACACTGATTTAAACTATACCATTATAAAAAATACTAAGGTTTAGTGAAACAAACTGTCAAATGATGGTGTGCCAGAGGTGCATGGGTTTCTTGTACCAGTAGTTTAAGGAGAAGTCAAAGTCAATTGTGGTTATGAGCAATAAACATCAAATTTATTTAATACACAAACAGACACATTTTGTGGCTTAATATATCATTTACTCAGTTTAGGGGTATTTCACTAGGGTTCTATACTTTCTGGTGGCTGGGCAACAACTGGCATTAAAAAAAAAAAAAATTAGACAATTGGGGAGATGCATAAACAATATTTTATAGTAGTGCACTTTAACTACATGCCTCCCAGCCACTGTATAAATACGGCGGCAGGGCGGCACGGCTGGACAAAAGCACGTTTTTAAATGTGTGTTTTGAAAACAGGTAGGGGGCACACGCGAGGCGCGCCGCCGCCCTGCCTGTCTCGCTGATCTCAGCCGCGGATGTCAGAGGCCGGGTCACAGCCGGTCGTTACCGGCTATGTCTCGGCGATCGGTGGCAATCGCTGACAGAGAGCACAGCTGCAGTAGCTGTGCTTTCTGTCAGTTCCCTGACAGCTCCAGGACACGCTGATTGGGACAGAAAAGTTTCTCTCTCCCGATCAGCTGTGTTCCCTGCAGTACACACCCCCGCCCCCTAGTAAAACACTCCCCTCACACAGTTAACCCTTTCCCTGAATAATAAACTTAACCCCTTCCTCCCCAGTGCCATTAGTACAGTGTCAGTTTTTTTTTTTTTTGCACTGATCACTGTATTGGTGTCACTGGGAATGTCAGTGACCCCAAGTCAGTACCCCCCAATGTCAGAATATCCGCCGCAGTCCCGCAGTCCGGCCATAAGTCACTGATCGCTGCCATAAGTCGCTGATCGCCGCCATTATTAGTGTAAAAAAAACCTAAAAATCCCAGTATCTTTCCCGCCATTTGTAAACGCTATAACTTTCACGTAAACCAATTAATTTACACGTATTGGGTTTTTTTTTTTTTAGCAAAGACATGTCGCAGAATGCATTTTGGCAGAAATTTATGACTAAATTTGATTTTGAAATTTTTTTTTACTGGACATGTTTTATAGCAAAAAGTCCAAAATATTGTTTTTTCCCTCAAAATTGTCAGCCTTTTTTTATAGCGCAAAAAATAAAAACCGCACAGGCGATCAAATACCACCGAAAGAAAGCTCAATTTGTGGGAAAAAAAGGATGTAATTTCATTTATGTACCGCCTTGCATGACCGCGCAATTGTCCGTTAAACTAGCGCAGCGCTGTATAGCAAAAAAATGGCGTAAATTGCAGTATCTATACCATAGTTTGTAGACGCTATAACTTTCACACAAAGCAATCAATATACACTTATTGGGATTTTTTTTACCAAAAACATGTAGCAGAATACATTTTGGCCTAAATTTATAACCAGCTTTGAGTTTACTATATATTTTTTATTGCTGAAATTAAAAAATATCGTTTTTCTTCAAATATTTTGGCCTTTTTTTGTTTATAGCGTGAAAAATAAAAAGCGCACAGGTGATCAAATACCACAGAAAGAAAGCTCTATTTGTGTGAAAAAAAGGATGTAATTTTCGTTTGGGTGTAGCATTGCATGACCGCGCAATTATCAGTTGAATTAGTGCAGCGCCGAGTAGCAAAAAGAGGCCTGGTCATTAAGGGGGGTAAATCCTCTGGAGGTCAAGTGGTTAAAATTGCTTTCGTTTTTCACTTTGTCACTCTTCAGTATTAAATCTGAGTCTCAAAAAAATCTGTGGAAAATGTCCTTCCTCTAAGAAAAACTATCTTAAAATCCTAGAGATGGATTGCTTTAAGACTTCTAGCCACGAATAACGTTATTAGAACAGATGTACCAAATCCATTCACTTTTACCATTTGTAATTCTCCATTTGTAGGGAAAGTTGAGGTCTTTTTTAAAGCGGGACTCCTGCCTCTGAGGGCTTAAAAGAAGTGAATTTAATGATGCCAGCCATAATTTAATCCAGGAAATTGATGACATCTTGAGGCAGAAAATAATAAATATAGTAGACTGCTCCTGATTGAAGATTTCCCCCTGGATCTCTAGTCCATCTTTCCACAAAGAGTCTAGCTGCCTATGAGGATGGTTAACTGAAACTGGAGAGTACAAAATCTGGTGCAGCTCTGTGTAGCAGCCAATCAGCTTCCATTTTTTTGGTCAAAGATTAGCTGAACAAGCTGAAGTTAGAAGCTGATTGGCTACCATGCACTATTGCACCAGATTTTGCAGTCTGAAGTTTTAGTAAATCAACCCCTATGTGTTTATTATGTTCCCTCCTTGGATGTGTTAAGTTGGTCATACATGGATGGATCAAAGTTTTGCTGGTTTAACAAGGATTGCACAAATTTTGATCCATGCATCACCACTGTGGTTGAACAGAAGTTGATCTACCAATTAACTTCTGTTCGACCTCCCTGTCGGTATTTTTTCTCTCGATCAGCACTGCAGGCAATAGTCTGCAATGCTGATCTATGTATTCTGATGACAGAGGAGTCTCCCCACTGTCAGAATACAATGACACAGTAGAGAGGATCCCCACATCCACATCAAATGTGTGGATTGAGGAATCGGTTTAGTTTTTTTTTTCATTTAGCCTGATGGCTGAATGGAAAAACTGGTCCATGTATGGCCAGCTTGTTAATTGACTACTTGTCTGAAATTTAAATACACCTTTAGAAACTGCACAATAGTAAGTAGTGAAGATAAATCAGAACACAAAATCAATACAAACACAGTTTTCTATGTAAATGCTTTAAGCTTTAGGTGTAAATGTGTTATAGAATTATCATGCTTCCAATTTACATATTTTAACATCTGTGGAAACCAATTTGCAAGGAATTATAGCATAATTTTAAGAAAGATACTACTGAGAACGCAAACTCTCCCACTCAATTTATTTCACCTTTTACATTTGGAGTTAAGGCTTTACATTGCATTTCATTCTAAATGAGTATGTTATGTATGTAAAGCACAAATACCTAACATTTGAGTGTTTTGGAAATACAATTTACCAAATATAAAATGTTGTCCTTGTAAAAGATTTCTAGATATCTCCTACATTA